ATTGAATATAATCTGCCATTTCGTTACTCACTCATTTGCTATTGAAAGGACTTTTGAAACTGCATCTCACTCTGCCTTCCTCCCTGCAGCTGTAAGCATACAGTCAGACTTTCTTTTGCCAAGCTCTATTTGGCAATGAAGACAAGTTTCATGAGTCAGAAAATACAAGACTTTCTCAAAATCCTGTTATCATCTATCTTTTCTGTGTAGAAAAGTTACTCGCTGAACTTGCCCTGACAGTGCAAAAATGCTGCAGGTGGCATTATTTATGGTAACTGAACTAATGGTACTATTAGTAATACAAGAGTATTACCCTTGTTCCCTACAAAGTGTGAGCTCCCTGTTCTCTGAAAACCAATTCTTGGTTGATTTCTGATGCCTGTAATCTGTGGCCAAACCAAAGAACCTCCATTACCCCAACAGTTTTAGTGTTGGTCGGCCAGCACTAACCAGGCCTGCAGGAGGTGGATACAATGTGCACATGGCTGTACTGTGGAGCACCACTGCAATTTGCTGCTGCACTACTCAGCTGCTCAGATGTGTCAACCAACTTGTCATTTAAAAGCATAATGGTGATCCTACTGTACTGTGCTAATTCCATGTGCTAGGAGCACGGGTCTGCAGAGAGGCAGTTATGAATTTATTGTGGCTGTCCATGAAGTGGTTGTCATATTCAAACTCTGGATGCTGCAGCCTCACTGGGTGCTTATTCCTCCATAAATTTACCAGCAGAAATAGATGTCAACAGCTTACTGCTTAATGCTCTGGCAGAAACTGCAAAAAGCAAAGAGAAAACCAAACATTAAGAGTTTTGACAAATACCTTCAAATACATCTGCAAGGAGGATGAGGAGGGGCAACAGTCTTCTAGCAATGCAGGCCTGTCCCAAAGCAAGTCCAGTCATTGTGGCACAATGAAGGTGGGCTATGTTCCCAGAAATCACAGTGTTGTGGAGGTACCACTGGCATAAGCTTTAGTATCCATTTATCCTTGGTAATGCACGCTGCAGGTGGTGGATTGGACATGGGGAAATAAATTTAAAAAAAAGGTTCTATGTGGTACTATTAGCATATAATAAAGATAAATTTCAGAATTCTTTATCACATGAAATAGTGTTACTCCATCATAAGGTGACAGATCTTGTCTCATTAAACAGCCACCTAAAGATGGTAGGCTTTTCCCCCCTTTTGTTACTAGGATTTAAAAAAAAAAAAACCAAAAACTGGGGACTTTTGCACTCCAGCGCAAGAGTCCCCAGTTCTTTTCCACTGTGTGATGTAAATATAGGTGAAATATAGGTGGACTGGCACAGAGTTTTGCAGAAGGCAGGAGCTAATGGTCCACACAGTGCTTCCATAAAGTAGGTAACTGAGTAGGCAGGATCTTTCTGTAACTTTTCTTGTGACTGACTGTAGTCAGTTTCCTTGTAAAGAAATTACACTGGTGTTGTAGTGTGTTGTACACTGGCCTTGCTTTTACTTCTCTGATCATGCCTCAAAACTGAGCTAATTTGATTTCTTTCCTGCTAGAAATTATTTATTCTGACTGAGTCAGAATACAGTGAGCGTTTTAGACCCCAAAGGAATTGTTTGTTCTAAGAATTAGCTATGTGGGATGTGCAGTGAGTCCAGACTCAGAGCCTTGAACAGATTGTTCAGCTGAAAGGGGGAGGGTAACCTCCTTACACTACAAGATATCAATTTTAACTTCTCTTTAAAAGATAATTCAAATAGTATAACATGGTTGCTCTCAGGCCAGATGTTGGTATGGTCAGTTTTAGCTACAAGGTCACACCCTGTGATTGGGTCAGGAACAGAATCTGTGAGAAATGTAATCTCCTTCTCAGAAAAGCACCACTGTAATCACTGTGTCCTAACAAGCATGACAGTGCCAAGGTGAACTGAGAGTATGCTCAGTTACACACAGCATTTGCACAACATTTAATCTACAAACTGTTTTGTAAAGACCAAGTGAATAGTCTTTAAGCCACCTATCTGGAAACACGTAGTTGCACTTTTTTACTTTCATTTGGCAAAACATTATGCTGAGTGTTGAGTACCCTGAATCTCCTTAGGTTTCCAGAATAAGCCTGTGACTTTTCTAGAACTATGCCTTTAAATGATTTAGCAGCTTTCAAATACGCATAGTTGGTGTATATGTAAAGACATATAGTCCCTTCCCCTCTGAGTTTTAAATCTGAGGTTCTTATCCAGCAAACATTTCCCTGCATATTATATTTTTATGTGTGTGAGAGGTTCACATTAAACTTCCACTGGGAAATATTTACAGAAAGACCACACCTGCTGAGCTTCAGCTTTTTGGCAAGTGCACTACAGAGGCCTAATGGGAATTCATGGAGAAGAAAGGTTGCCTGCATTTTAAAAGGGTGTGAACCCTCCAAGCTCTGAAGCTATGTGCACGTTTATATTTAGATAACCTGAAAACTCTGCCTATAAATTGTCAGGGAAAATTAATGAGTAGTGCATGTGCAATATATCAAACATTGGTGTCTCAGCCACTATTTTCAAATGCACCAAAGTACATGTGTGTTCCTTACTGATGGCTGTATACAATACTACATGTTTAAAGACACATTATTTGAATGTATCTGAATGCAGAAACCAGTGACCCCCTTTCTTTAATAGCTGGGAAGCACTTTTTGTGTTCCAGCAAGTATTTCTAAAGGGGTTTTTGAATCAAGCAGTCCTGAGACAGTTCATCCTAGAATATAATATTGAAGTTTAAAAGAAATAAAATGCAAGTTCTATCTCAGCATGGCTTCAGTTTCTCATTTTTTTCCCTTGGCCACATTTTTTTCATGTGCTCTACTGTAATGTATTTTTAAGAAGCTATGTCATGTTTTACAAAAGAAAAACATTATATATAAAGTGTATAACTTTTATCTTGCCTGTGGACTCCATGCTACAGCTGTAAATCTCACATTTCTTCTTTCTGACTTATTTCTGATGAGAGACAGTATGAAGATATCAATGGCTTTGGAATGGTATGTATTATTTATTTATGTCCTGAAGTTGTTAGCAGTTATCTTAATAAGACTGAATACTCTGTAACTCTTGCCAGCCTTGCAGTAGCTCTCAGTCCCCTTTCCCTTCTCACCCCAAGCTCCTTAGTAGGTCTATTATTTCATTTGGAGTTAAGGTACAGTGTGTCTCATAGTTTTATTTCCTGAGTCTTCTCCTTTACACCTAGAGATGACATTCATATGAATTTGTAACATGATGAGCCTTTCCTGTAGTCTCTAAAAATATGTTTGCTATCTCAAAATACTTTCTCTCAAATGGCAATCCAGATTCCTGGGCACCATAGTTTAATTCAAGATGTATTAAAAGACTGCATGAAGTGAAGACATTAAATCTGCCTTTATATTTAGCTTCCTTTTTTTTCCCCACTGGTGAGTGAACCATGTGTTGTAACAGCCTGCTCATTTCTAAAGAGCTGTGATGCTGTCTCCTGCAGAGGCTGCTTCACTATGAACTCCCTCTGCAAGATGCTGAGTTGCTCTGGCCCTCATTCATCCAAGTCTTAGATGCTGAGCTGCTGGACTAAGATCAGTGCATAACAGTTTTCAAGATACAGCTTTGTTCCAAGAAGCATTGTTCATCCTTTACTCCTGTCAGAGGATGGGGCCTAAATAAAGGAAATAGTCTTGTCTTTCTGTTTTGTTTGTCTAGCAGAAGAGAGACTATTAACCTAGACTGGAGGACTTTAAAATCAGCTCAACTTACAATATTCCATCCGCTTTGCTCTGTAATGATGTTAAGGTCATGATAAGCTGTATATTTCTGTGTAAAAGTTAAATTAATAGCAAAAATAAATTAATGCCAAAAAATAATCTAACACATTCTAACTTTGTTATTATTTCATCAAGCAATAATGAACTGGGAATTTGGCCAGTATATTAAAAATATACTTAATAAATCCTACATTATTCTTGTGGCTCCCTTCCACATCAGCATATTTTGTGATTCTGTGAAATAAGCATTTAGATGTATGTAGATTGCACAGCAAAACAGTGAAATAATTGATTCATGTATGTGATTACTAGTGTACCAATTAAAAACTAACCTTTTCTTGGAAGGCAGGAAGGCAGTGCAACTTTGACTTAGGACTTAACACAGTAATTTATGAACTGGGAGGAGAGTAGAAAACTGTCTCAAACATACTGGGCATATGTTCTTTAGGAAAAGAAAAATTTTGGGTCATCTAACTGGCACTCATATATACACTGCATTTTAGTGTTAAATGTGGCAGTGTTGCCATCCCAAGTTACCCACTTCTGTATCTATAGCTGTTTGTGGAGGCAACACAGTAAGCAGATCAGCAGCTCGATTTAATTAAAATTAACTATTTTCCACTGGATTTTTGCTAACTGAAGTAATTATCTGCACTCTGTATGATGCACTCAGAGCTATATACCAGCATGTAGAAGTGATGCAAAAAGACTGGAGGGGTGGAATGCTAGCAATAACTTCACTTGGTAGTGGCACCATATATTTGTCCCCGAGGTAACAGTCAAAACCTGAAAATTTGTTCTCAGTGTAAATGGAAAACAAGTGTTAAAAGACCCGTTCTAGGTAGGTAAAAGAGCTTTGTAGTTGGCTCTGAAAAGAACTTGACCTTCTGCCAGAGACCCTGCCAGTGGACTTGAGGAATCTTGCAATTACTACTGGCTGTTCCATTTGTCAGCAAATACATTGTTGCAGAGAAGGTTGCGAAGATATGTTTCTTCAGGCTCTGAAGTGGTTGCATGAGAAAAGCCAGGTGGGCAAGAAGGGCTATAATGGAAAGCAAAAACACTCAAAAACCACTGTTATGTATATAATTTTGCTATGTTATGTATATAATTTTGTTTCTTAGGAAGCAGCTTGCAGGGATTTGCAAAAACTATCTACTAAATTTGCTGCAGTAATTACCCTTGTCCTTCAGCTAACTAATTTCACTGTTCAGTTTCAGTTTGCATGTGATTTCACATTTCCCAGGTGCTGGAGCAGAGATTCCCCTGCAGCCTGTGGTGCGGATCATGGTGAGGCAGCTGCCCCTCAGTGGAGGCCCACGGTGGAGCAAATATCCACATTGGAAACCGGGATGCCATGGAGCAGAGGGATATCTGAAGGAGGCTGTGACCCCGTGGGAAGCCTGTGCTGGAGCAGGCTCCTGGCAGGACCTGTGGCCTCATGGAGCAAGGAACCCACCCTGAAAGGGGTTTTCTGGCCCCATAAGGGGACCCACTCTGGGACAGTATGTCCCTTAAAGGCTGAACCCTGTGGAAGGGGACCCACACTGAGCACTTAATGAAGAACTGCAGCCTGTGGGGAGGATCGACATTGGAGAAGTTCATGCAGGACTGTCTCCTGTGGGAGGGACCCTGTGCTGGAGCAGGGACCCTGTGCAGGAGTCCACCCCTGAGGAGGAAGGACTGGCAGAAAAATGTGGGGAACTGTCTGAAACCCCCATTCCCTGTCCCCTTGTTCTGTTGGAGGTGAACAGGTGGGGAATTGACAAATGAAGATGAGCCTGGGATGATGTAGGGGTGGAGGCAAGGTGGATTTTAGATTTGTTCTTATTTTTCATTATACTACACTGATTTGATTGACAATAAACTAAATTAATGTCCCTAGGTTGAACCTGTTTTGCTCATGAGAGTAATTGCTGAGTGATCTCCCTTGTCCTCATCTTTACCCAGGGGCCTTTAGTTGTATTTTCTGTCCAATGTCCAGGTGAGGAGGGGAAAGATAGAAAGGCTTTTGTGGACACGTGGTGTCCACCTAGGCTCAACCCACCTCTGTCAGTAAAAAGACATTTTGTAAGTCCAGTCTTTGGACATGTGACAAGACGGCCTTTGTAATGTTATCCAGATAATCTGTAGTGATTTAAAATCCTATTGTAGTTTCTGTATCACTAGTTTTATTATTTGATTAAAATCCAGCAGAGCATTAAGGATTAAATTTGTCTGAGGATGAATGATTTACAATTAGTTAGAAAAAATGAAGGTATTAAAGAATATGCCAGGTTAATTTATTTGACAAATGAGTGTAAAGCTACTTACACAAACATTTCAGAACAGAGCAGCACCTGGTAGGTAATAAATTTTGTAGAAGAAATGAAAAATGTAATTAGTTGAGGACTGTAAAAACAATGCCAGGAGGTATAACTAAGCTCTATCTCACTAAGAATGCAGGGATTGACTTCCTCTGCACCCCACAGTTGTGCTGGGTCCCTCCAGTAGGTGACAGCCTGTAGGCCAAAGGATCCACTGGTAGGGAAGATATGCTATACTTGGCAGTTAGGACACGGTATGGTGGTATCCAGCCTGGGATTTTTACAATTAATTTGTACTACATTATCTGCTAATGCCAAGCTTTTCGTATTTTCCATTTTAATGTCAATAATACTACAGTAATGTTGACATCTAGCTTTCTAAAACACTACATGTTCTTAATTTGTTTATGTTGGCAACATTTGTTATTTTACAGGAGTGTAGGAATTACCTAGTGGTGACTGATTTAAGCCACTTGTTGTCTGTTTGAATTCGGTCATGATTTTGCTGTAACAACAGGATAAACAGCCTCATTTGCAGCACTGCAAATGTAAAGAAACAAACTGTTCCAAAACGTCTAACTGTACACATTTATGGCTGTGGGTATTGTTACCTTAGGTTGTTGCATTCAATTATTGTGAAGTGTTCGTATGTTCCATATCCATTACTTCACATAGATATTAATTGTGTTCCATATATTTTGACAACTGTTTAGCCATGAGGTGGTATTTTCATAGAAGCATCTCTTTATATGGCATGATTTCAGGCCATAATAGTAATTATCTACTCTAGGTATATCACTATATATGTTAAGCTGAAATTGTTTCTTCTCACACATATAACTTGATGGTAATCTCTACTCAATTTTATCTGCCATTTTATTACCTGGACACTCAGTGAGTATCAATCACATACCACTTGCCTTGTATTTTTGTAGCTCTTCACATTGGCCACCATTTTTAATTTACCTCAGTCATGAGTATACCTGCAAATTTTGTCTGTGGTACCTGCTTTGTCCGGGAAGGCCTTTCTTGGATTTAGCTTATGTAGTATGAGTTTGAGAGGCAAAAGTGTACTGAGACAAGAAATCTTCAAGAAACTCATGCTCATGGGAGGAAAATGTTCCCCTTCCTTCTCCTTCCACGCTGGGCTGTAGCTACTTTTAGAAACAGATCTCACAAGGCTCAAAGGAGGTTGTCCAGGTACTAATGGTACCTTTCTCATGTCTTCCCTACATAATTGGATGTTTTCTGCAGTTAGAGAGACCTAATACATCAGCTTTCACACATCATCTCAATGAGCTCAATTGCCAGGAAAGTTTATTATCTAACTTCAGAAAAATTCCCTAGGAAAAATCCCTAGGAAATCAGGGAATTTGCCATTCTGCTTGAGAATGCAGATGCTATATTGACAGTAGGTAGCAAAAGCTAAAGGCTAAGGTTATATATTAAAGGCTGCTGTCAGTAAATTAAAAGTGAATTTGACTGTTTCCTTGAATGAATGAAGAAAGGCAGTGGTTAGAGTTGGGAATTATGACCTCTCCCAGGCAGGAACAAGGATGTGGAGTGCTCTCTTCCTCATGCAGCATGCAAGGTTCTCTGATTTCTTACTTACTCTTTGCACCAGCCTTCTCAGTCCTCTTCCCTTCTCACACAGAATTAATGCTGACCTTGTACAGAAAAGCTGATTTCTCATTCATCTTCTTCCCTTATCCATCAACAACTAATCCTAAATACTGTGCCAAAGATTTCTAGTACTACAAGTCCTCTTTCCTTTGGGAGCAGGAGCCCAGGGGGATTTTCCTGGCTCTTCATCTCAAGCAGGCGTGGGTTCTTGTTTACTAAACCTGTCCATGTCCTCAGGCACATATTCCCAGACTCATGAGTTTTCTCTGACTCTGACTCCCTTCTGCCAAGCCTGCTGCATTCAATGATTGAACTTGTATCTAATTTCACTAGTCACAGTTTTCCTTGGCAGAACTCTAAAGGGTCTTAATTTGCTGATATCGTTTGTCTAGTTAATTATTGAGTTTGGGTTTTCTTTCATATGATTGATATCTCTGCCAGAATTGCAGTAGCTATTAACAGAATTGTGGTTATTTCATTAAAATACAGAATGCTGACATACATTATGATATTCTGCTTTTGCCCCTAATTACTAAAATATTTTATATTTTAGTGTAATTTATTTATACTTTCATATAATTTATTATTATGAAAAAGAGTTTGACAGCCAGATGCAGTAAATATATGAAGGTATTCCAAAGTCATATCAAAACCTAATGCTGTTTTAATTTGAAATCTGAAATTACATGTCTAAGTTTGACAAGAAATACTTACCTACACACCCAGCTGTAGGAACAGTGTAAAGCACTTATAGGATTATACCAGCTCATGAAATTCCCTGTACTTAATCATTTTGTGTCACGTTTTCAGCTATATGTGTTATAGCACAAAGACTTGACAAGATGTGAGCAAGTCTTATTGTTGATGACTGTTAAAAGAGGACTTTTGCATGGCTAGAATCTGAAATAGGATGTATTGGAGATTTCTTTATCACACTGTTCATTTATGTAAGAGCAAGTCAAATATGAATGACATTTATGTGGATTTTTTGCATTCTCCAAAATCACAAAGTGTCAGGATAGGCCTATAAAATAAAAATTGCTGCTTAAATGTCTTTCTTTTAGCAGCTGGAGGTTATTACAATTCTGAAGTTTATGTAGACCTGTCACAATTTTTGTGCATAGGATTGTCTTTTACTGGAATTCCAGATCAATGGAAAACAAGGAAGCAAAAGAAATATAAACCTATCATGAGAAATACTGGATAAATAGAGGGGAAGGAAGAGAAGAAAGAAAGAAAGAAAGAAAGAAAGAAAGAAAGAAAGAAA